CTTACTACTCAACAATTCAAAAAGAGAGTTCACAAATCCGCTGTTTTTTCCTCTTGATCTTTAACATGCCTTTAAGCTTCCTGGAACATCAGCTCTCCTTGTTGTCAATTACTTGAAGCGAAAAGGTAGTCAAGACTGTTTATTTTAGGGCCACAGTTTGCTAAACTGGATTGACAAACCCTCAAAAATGACTAAGTTTTTCCTTCTCTTTCTTTGTCGAACAAGTTTTTCAGGACGTGCATTCAAACACGGATCGGAATCTAATGAAATTGGCGGGAATCTTCCCAGCTTGCATTAAAATGTGTGAAAATTAGCTTTTCAGAATGTTTTGAAAAGTTGAAAAAAGTTAAATGTTGCTCCGAACATTATMATTTTCCAAAACCAAATAGCGCCTGCATTCAGCGGTAATCCACACTAAACACCCACTGAGAGTGGGTGTCACGTGACCGGCCAATGCCAGGGCTATCTCTGTCCGCCATTTTGAAAAAAGCGAGCAGAGTAGCCCTGGGAACGAGGTTGGGATTGTTTAGAAGTGTTTTCGCTATAATATCTGCAAGTTTCCGACGATTTCAAGCTTTAAAAGTCGAGAAAATCGACAAAAACCATTCCTATCGAACTTCCAAATAAGGTAAGATTACCATATATGGCTGCTAAACGAAGGATAACTTTGTGGGGGCAATTGTTTGATATGCGTCTAGTTCCTTCAAAAGCTGCTAAACCTTGCATGAAAAGTAATCAGCAAGGAGTTACTTTCACAAATTTTACTCTTAATAAATTTGATTTCAAATCACTTCGTGATTTATCAGTTTCCTATAGATGAACTGCATGCCTTTGGTAGATTCTTTACATCTAAACCAGACCCTCTTAGAGTGTGAACTCGGGCGAGCTATATCTTGAAAATTGAGAAATACAGTATATTACAACAGAAAAGTTTTAAATGAGCTCAATTTGAAAAAGTACTGAATAAGCCAGCACTTTTCAACACCTTTAGGGCACGAGTACACCCTGCTGTAAGGTTCTAGTTATGATATGCAAAGGTTGCCAAAACAACAGATATATTGCACCATCTTGTCTAGGCCCCTCGATGAAGCGCGGAACTACTTTCTTCTCTAGTTTATGTTGAATTAAATTATATACACCTCCAAAAAACCTCCAAGAAGAGCAAACGCTCATTCGTCGTTTTATTGTCGGCTAGCCCGACTAATGAGACCAGGATATGATACCGTTTGCGAGTTTTTGAAAGACGTTACCGGTATTGTTACATAAAAAAATTCAAAAACGAGCTAAGGGACTGTG